TGTGATGTTTGATGGCGATCAGATCTAAAGCTAAATGTTGATCAGGTGTATTATAATTTACCAAGATACGGTCTAATACAATGGTCTTTCTATTTCTTTCAAGGAAGGAGACTATCATTTTCATGGAAGCATCTTTAAAATTATCGACACGTCTTTGAATAAATTAATATATGCGATCATTATTTTCTTTTTGACTTATGACAAGTTGTTTTGCCTGTAAAGGTTTCAGTATATTATACTTTAGTTCATGTAAGTATAATAGTAGTCGATTATTATTATAATAGCCATCTAATAAACTTGAAGATATAAAATGTTTAGCAGCAGTTTTGAGAATAAAATTGTGTTCTATGGATGAGACGGGGAAGGATTTTGTGAATTAATATTGGAGGAGGTAAACAATAGAGAGAAAATTTTATATCAATAATAAATTTTTTGAATTTTGTAAATTTGTTTGTGGATGGAGGAATTTAAGCATGAGTAAAGAGAATTGTGATGAGCTAATATGGTTTGTTTTGGGATGTGTTTGGATGCTGATTTTATGACAGTTTGAGTAAAAAACTCCCATACTTCATTGATTAGACTATTAGAAGTACAGAGGACTTGAATGGAAATATCCTTAAATTTAATATTTTGTTTCAGTAATAGATCAGCTTTATCTGCAAAAGATCCCAATGAAGATAAGTAGTCTTATCATAAAGGAATGATTGTTTTGTGATTTTGTGTTACTTCTGATATGCTGATGATGTTTGGGAAAAGAAATTCTTTTTATAAAGAGTAATTAGTATTGGGTAGTGATCAGTTGAGTAAAGATAACAGGAATTATTTAGGACGTGGAATGAAGTGAGATCATATGAAAGGTTGGTTGAGGTGAAAATGTAGTCTATATGGGAGGTGGAGTCATAGGAAGAAGAAGAACGGAACGTGGGAGGGTGAGAAGATTGGAAAGGGGTTAGGATGTGAATGAAACCAAGGTTAATAATATTATGAAGGAAGTTCTGCAGCTGCTTTTGGAATTTGGATCTATATTTTCTACTTATATCTATATTAAAATTCCGATTAGAATGATATGAAAATTGTGATGCAAACTATCTATTAAAATGTTCATCAATTTTTTTTGAACTTGGAGATGGTATTGGTAATCTTTTTTATCATGATAAGAAGCAGGTAAATATACTTGAATAACCCAAAGTTTTAATTTATTTTTGAATTGAAAGTCAAGGTAAATAATACAATTAAAGAATGATTCTTGATTAAAGATATGTGTGCTCAGATTGTTACGAACTAATAGACCTATACCCTGACAATTTTGGCGATGATTAGAAGAATGAAAAAAATATTTAAAAGACTTACTGTGAAGGTTCTTATTATAATGGTGAGCTTGTAACAGGTTCAAATAAGTTTCACTCAGATCTAAAATGTCTATATTAAAGTTATTAAAAAATGAGTCAATATTCTGAAGTTTGGTTTCTGATGAACAGTTTCTAACATTATGTGTTGCAAAGGAAATGAGGTTTGGATTATTGATAATATTTGTGAAAGAATCGTTTGAAAGAAAATTGTTATTATGAGGATTCGTATAATGTGATCCTATATTATTATTGTTATTTAGTTGTACACTCATTTAGAAGAGGAAGGAAGCGTTTGAAGGATCTGTTAGATACTAGTCGCAATATTTTTGATTTCAGAACGAGATTCTTCAAATTGATTTTCTAGATTGATAACTTTATCTAAAGGAGACATGTTGGTTGAAGGGTTTGAAGGAGGATACTCTTGTATTGATTCGAGTGGTGGTTCCTGAGAATCATCAAATTCCATTTCACTATCATATACACCTTTAGTATGAACAATATTGTTACATTTTTCTAATTTAGTGATACGATAGTCTATATCCTCTTAGTTTTCTTGGAGAATAATGATTTCATTTTTTGCTGTGATAATTTCATCATTGAGAGTGATTAATTTATTGTCAATATCAGTCAAACGTTTCAAAATGTCATTAAGAGCAGTAGAGACATCTGAGATCTGTTGTTGATACTTAGGATTTTTATTGGTTTTTAGAGCATCAGCGTATGAACTTTGTTGATTTTGATTTGATTGTGTATTTAAGGTATAGTTATTTGAATGCGTATTAGTTTTCTGAGGAGGTCTGTAAGTGGCAGGTTTGAAATGATCGTATAATTGCCTATATGGGTTTGAGGGTTTTTGAGGCGTACAATCTTTAGCTTCATGTTTAGGTTTGCCACATCTTCTACAGTGAGGGGCAGCAGGATTAACCCAGAATAAGATATTTGATTTGAATTTGTGTTGAGATTTGATTGCAGAGTCATAATCATCTTAGTTGTTAAAGTTAATATACGCATAGGGACGATTACGATATTGGAGATCACATGGTATAAAACAAGTTTTTGCTTTAATAGATTCTAGGAAAGTTAGTAAATCTCGTTGTGTTGTGTTGAATGGTAAACCAGTTAGTTTCAATTCAAATTGTTGTCAAAGGATTAGTTGCATAGCATCAAGGTCAGTAAGTTCAATACGAATTGTGAAATCTAGTAATGATAAAGATCATACGTCATTGTAAAAATATTTAATAGCATCAGGTGATTTGTATACTATGAATGCTATTTGCCAGAGTCCTCTGGTAATCATAGAAAATCTGGCAATAGTATCACGTTGTTGAAAAAAATTTCATACTACATCTGATTTGACAAATAAGGGAATATCATTGACTTTAATGCATCTGCCTTTTTTGGCATTTATCCGTTGTTTTTTTGCAGATGGATCAGCTACTACAAACACGGGGTTGTGTTGTGTTTTCTGAACTTTTGTGACAACATGTGTGAGTTAGTCAATGGTTTGAAAATAAACAAAGAACTTTCTTAATTTGGAGTTGTACGAAGTTCCTTGATAATCAGAAAAGTTAACAAAAAGCCTGTTGATGAAATTTTTTTTATCAGCAATAGATTTGCCAGTGATATCCGCAGCATCATCAGATGTGAAAAATCGTGTTAGAGAGGTAATAATGTTAAAAGTAGTATCTTTCACATTAGTATCACGTGATTGGTCAGAATCGTTTACATTGTTTTCAACTTGGTCAGCCCAAGAGAGTTGTTTGTTCTTTCCTTTATTAGCAAAAGAAGTTGGCGAAGATTGAATAGGATCAGTTGTTGTATTCTTTGCATATATAGAATCATTTGTACTGGTTCCTTATGGAGAAAAGAGTGGAGTTTTTTTAGCAGAATCTATATCCATTTCGTAAACTTCGAAGTCTTCAAAAACAAAGTTATTTTTTTGAGTGATGGAAGTGGATAACATATTATTTGGTGATAGTTGAGTAGTATTAGAAGTTTCTATAACTGTTTGAGTAGTATTTGGGATTTCTATAACTGTTGGAGTGATATTTAGTTTTAGGATTTCAGTTTTTTGTCTTTTAGTAACTTTAGTAACTGTGTCGTCATTTTTGTTCTTTCCGTGCTTGTTAGAGGATGAAGTACTAGATTCTTTACTGTTTTCTGAAGAGTTTGAAGTATTTTTTTTGTAAGGTTCAGGTTTTTTTCCATACGTACTTTGTCTTCTAGTTGTTGGAGACATTTGGTCAAAAAGATCAGCGGAAAGAGTTATTTTTTTTTTTTTGTAATTATTAAATAATAAGTTATTTTAAAAAATTGAAAAATTGAAAAATTAATATATATTAATAATTATTAATTTTAAAAATTTAAAAATACTATCATTAGATAGATCTGAATATAACAAATCTAATAAACTTTATTTTATCTTTTTATAATTACTAAATATTAAAATATTATAATTTTTCTTTAATATTTTATAGCCAATTTATATTTACGCTTTAAGGAATATAATATAAAGCAATTATTAAATCATTATAAAATTTTATTATTATAAAATTATTATAAAAATTTTATATTATATAATCATTATAAAATTATTATAATATATTAAATTTTAAAATCATTATAAAAGTTATATTATATATGAACACAAATTCATTTTAAAATGATTTTATAATTTATAATTATTAAATATTTTAATATCATTTTATAAACCTTATAAGATATAAATAAGCATTGTATAAGATTTAAGAATGATAAAAAATATTGTTTCTTTGAGATGATAATAACATTATTCTAATTGAACAATTTTTAGTTATCATTTAATTAGAATAATACAATCATTTCAATTGAATGATTTTTTAGTTATTATTTGATTAAAATGATACAATTGTTTCAATCAAACAATTTTGTAACTTTATTCAATTAAAACAATACAATTATTCTAATTAAATAATTTTTTAATTTTGTTTGATTAGAATGATGCAATCATTTTAATTAAATGATTTTTTAATTATCATCTATTTAGAATAATACTTTTGTATTATTGTTTAATTAAAATAATACAATTATTCTAATTTAATATTTTTTTTAGTTTTTGTTTGATTGGAATAATCTAATCAAATGATTTTTAATTTTTATTAATTGAAATAATATAATCGTTTTAATCAAATGATATTTAACAATTGTTTTAATTAAATAATTTTTAATTTTCATTTAATTGAAATAATACATTATTTTAATCAAATGATTTTTAGTTATCATTCAATTAGCAATATAATACCAGTTATTTAAATGCAAAAATTATTAAAAATAATACTTATACTACTTTTTATTTTCTAAGAAATCTTGCAAAAAATCAATAAATATAAAGTTTCAAATTTAATGTTAATAAATGAAAGAACAGAAAGTATAATATAAAATAAATATTTGGTAAGTTATGTAATTAAACATAGTTTTAAAATCACTCAAATTTGTTGCATTTTTGAAAGATATCTTCAAAAAATATATATTACAGTCTTCTGTTCTTTATTTTTATCATATGGTCTATCACTTAATGCTTTATATTATCACGTAGATCGTTGCACAAGGTTGATCTGCCCTATTAAACTTTTTTAAAAAAATTTTTTTTAAAACTTTCTGGTAATTGATAAAATGTTCATTTTCTCTAAATACACACCCACGGCAACTAAAAGAAGTCTCACTGTCCTGTTAAAAAGTTATAAAAATAATTTCCTGATCCTTTTTTTATATCCGAGCAAATGTTAAAAGGTTGAATATTAACTTTTCGTTTATATCGCTTTCGTTCAATAAGGATTTTACGCAAGCAGCGGTGGTGTCCCACCATTTACTAAAGAAACTGCGAATTCCAAAGTGAAGAAAGCGCAAAACTTGTGGAATACTAAGGATCCGTATAAAGTTGTTAATGCTTATACTAAAGATTCTATGTATGTGTCTTTTCGTTACTTGAATTGGCAGCGTTTTTGAACGAAACAATTGACCGTTAATCTTCTCTAGCTGGCGCAATCGTGATAAGTTCTTCACCGGGCACGATTCAATCATTAAGTTCTTGAAGGACAAGTGGTCAAAGGAGTTAGATTATAGATTGAGAAAGGAGTTGTTTTCGTGGACGGATAATAAGATTGCAGTAGAGTTTTGGTACGAGTATCACGATCATCAGAAGCAGGCAAGTATATTAGTTTGCACACTAAGTGTATTAAGGTATAAGGTTTAACACATTATTCCGTTTTCGTTGCAATCATGATGATAGTGGTATCGTGGTATGTAATTATATGCAATTTGTTGTTATAGTTGAATAAGAACTAACTCTTTTTTTTTCTCTTTCCCCAGCCTACGGTATCGAACATTGGACTTTTGATAAGAAAGGAATCATGCAACTTCGGCAAATGAGCGCAAACAACATTCATATCACTGAAGAAGAGCGTTGGTTAAAGATGGTGTTGATGTGGATGATGTTGAGGTTCCAATTTAGATTACATATTGATTTTAATAAGATTACTTGGAAGAACGTACTATACACGGGTGGGAATTTGTAGGAACTAGATAAAATTGATAGTGTACTTGTACTGTATTTGAACTAACTTATTATAAACTTTGTATATGAAATTTAAAGCAACACGTGACCTATATAATATCAGACATTCTAAGTTGTAAATACAATTTCCCAGCTTGACGAGCTTTCCCGAATTAAAATAAATTTTGAGGGACATGTTCATAAAAAGAACTTATCATTTAAACAATAATGTTTTTAACAAAATTAAATGACGCGTATAATAGTTATTGACGCGCTTCTTTTGTCAATTGTCAACCTCATAATTATCATTTTTTTCGTCACTTGAAATCAGCAATAAAAAGTTTGCTAAAATAAAAATTTTTATTAGCTAATTAGTTGCATACTTCATCGTCTATCGTTAATAATATATTCACATAATCAAATATCCATTAAAACAGCCTGGCAACCAATCATTTATCCGATTCTCTACCTTGTGATTCAATAAATGACGCATATCAACATAATTATTGAAATTTGAGAATACAAAAGATATAAATGATGATTGCAATGTGAGCAATTGTTTTTTTTTCTTTTCCTTTTTGTTCTATCTGTAGGTGAATAATGTTAAGATCACTTATTGTTCAGATTTTTGTTCAACAATACACTAACCATATTGATCAACAATAACATATTTTATGTCTAACCCGATCATTTCTACTAGCATTAATGGATTATTTTCTCATTAATTTTGGTTGAAATGATCGGACACGCAATTTGGGTTCTAAAACAGGAACGAAAATGGTGATTGATTATAGGAGTTTTTGATAAGCTTAAAGTCAATTTCTTGAAATATAAAGCGATCCCATTTTTTTTTTATTTTTTTACTTTTATTTTATTATCATTTTTGTGCAAACGATTGAAACGTTAGCTAAATATTAATTATTATTACACGGTTTCATTAGGATTGTGCGGAATTTAATGTACTGATATTTTTTTAATTATTGTTATTGAACGGGGCTATATCGGTCTTCGACCGATATTTTGACGCCCCGTTCAATAACATACAATTATTCCACTCCAATTTTTGGATCGAATAAAAATAAAAAATGCGATACAAATAAACATTACAAATTACATCGAGTAGATGAAGCAATTATTATATAGTTCTTGATTAACAATACATAAATTTCATTATAAATAGTCCGAATTTTCAATCATTAAAGGTAGTTCACTATATTAAGTATGTTATTCGGAATTCTTGTTTGTGTACTTTTCGCCGCTTATTTCTCACAACGATGGGTACGTACGCGAAAGAAAATGGAAACCTCCCAAAGAACATTGATTCCGATAGCCGTGAATTTTCACTTTACTCGTAAATGCAATTACAAATGTGGATTTTGTTTTCATACCGCTAAAACTTCCGATATGCCAACGTTAACAGACTCACAACTCGCCTTAAAGAAATTAAAAGATGGAGGAATGCGTAAGCTCAACTTCGCCGGTGGAGAACCGTTTCTCTATCCTAAATATCTCGGAGATCTTGTACGCTACTGCAAGCAGGACCTAGGCCTTGAGTCAGTGTCCATTGTGACGAATGGAAGTAAGGTGAAACGTGATTGGTTCATTCGATATGGCGAATACCTTGACATCATGGCGGTCTCGTGCGATTCTTTTAATGAGAAGACCAATGTACGAATTGGTCGAGGTCAAGGCTTGCATCTCAAGGCCGTACAAGAAGTTTCTTCTCTCTGTAGAGAATTTCGTGTCAAATTCAAAGTCAATACCGTGGTATGCCGGTATAATTGGCAGGAGGATATGAATCATGACATATCCTTGCTTCAACCGTTTCGATGGAAATGTTTTCAGGTTTTGATCGTACCTGGAGAAAACACAGGGACTGACGGTACTTTGAGAAACGCTACCGAATTCCAAATAAGCAGCGCGGAATTCGAGGCCTTCATAAATCGACACGCAAAAGTCCATGGGGAAAAACTCGTTCCCGAACCAAACAATCTGCTGCGCCATTCGTATTTAATGATAGACGAGCACTTGCGGTTTTATGCGTCAGGAAATACTCCTTCGGTACTCACGTTACTTGACACAGACCTCCAAACTTTGCTCAAAGATGCTGGATGGGATGAAGCCGCTTTTATTAAAAGAAGTGGCGTGTATGATTGGTCACGTAAACCCAACACGACTCCATGTAGCAGCAAGTTCCGTGACCAAAAATTGGATTGGTAAATTAGATTGTGACGCGAGTTATCTCTGATTAATTTTGGAAAATCAAACTTGTAAAAAGGAATAAAAAAAGAGATATGTAGGAAAAGAAATGGCTACTTTTATCTAAAGGTAATTATCCAAAACTCTATATATTAATTAATCGATAACGTTTCGTTTGTTTAAATAATTTCTAACACATTATAAATAAAAACAGTAAATATACTGTTACATTTGTTACATTGTAAATTTCATATTTTAATATAACTATTATTTGTATCATCAATCAATCTTGTATATCAATTTCCATCATTTTTTATAATAAAACTGATATGAATTTAAAACTATGTTTTATTTTTACTTGAACAATTTATTTAATGGTAAACTTTTTGTATTTGTCGAAATAATAATACATATATTTATTATTTAATGGAGTTAACTAAATTTGGATTGGCTTTTTGTCCCTTTCATCTGCGAAATCAGAAAGTGGTTTACCTTAAAACGCTGTTCTTAAATCTAAATATAACAGCATCTTCAATAAATAAAGCCCTAATATTATCATTTACCTCTTAAAAGATATCAAAATAAAATGTTTATTTTATAAACAAATATTATCATAATAATATAAGAAATTATCTTTATAATTTAATTTGTTATTTCTAAATTTTCTAAGCATTGTAGGAAATTTATATATTATATAGTACTTTTTAAAAAATAAAGTTTTATATAAAAAAGAAAAAATTTTTTATACATATGACTTTATTAGAGTATTAAAATAATAGTTTTAAATAAATCTCTTATAATTTCATATTAAAGGATGTAGCTTATTAATAATATTTTATAAGCAAGTATAGAAAAATATGTATTATAGAAATTTGCAAAAGGAATCTTATTATAAAAACTAATATTAGTCTTTTTAAATATATTAAATTATAATGCAATTATTATTAACATATCTTTGAAATTTAATAATATGAATAAACATTATTATGATAAAACAAAAACTTATAATGAAATAATATTTTATCTTTTTTATGAATTATAGAGATATTCTTATAAATATTTAAAGAATTTTATATAATTATGATATAAGAAAAAAATTTCTTTGATAAATTAGATTTATCAACTGATCTATAAAATAAATATAATAGAAAAAGTTAAATATGGAATTATCAAAAGTTTTTTAAATGCTATTTTAAACATTAAATTACTTTGTAATAAAATAATTTAAATTTGAAGAATTAATAATTTTAAAAATTCTTTATACATAATTATTATTATCTTTTTAATGGGATTGAAAGTAAAAATTAGTATTTACTATTATATTTTTTGAAGTATTTTTTTTTTTGATCTTCTGAATAAAATATATTAGATGTTTATGTAATGCAATTTTTTTTTGCTTGTAAAATTTTATTAGCTTAATTAGACGATTTATTTAAAAATACATAATGTAAACCTAATTCCAAGAATGCATGGATATGTATGATTTACCCAGTTCTACCACTAAGTTTTTCACCCACGTGATTTTGGACGGCATTATAAAACTTGGCCGAAATTAACTAATTGAAAAAATTCAAAGTTTCCTAGAATACATAGTAAAAACGGGTAACAAATTATTTGAGATCACGTGGGTGAGTCATTGTCACGGGTTTCAGTGAAAACTTTACAATCTTAGACGCTAGACAATTTGAAAATTTGAAGAGATCCCCGTACCCAGAAGGTTCTATTTACATGTTATTGTCATTCTTGGTGTTCACAATAATTTATTATTGTAGTTCGGAGAAAATTTTCTGAATAAGCTGTATTTCACAACAGCTCATTCAAAAAGAAACGCCAAATGCTTTTCAATGAGAAATTGTAATTAGTAATAAACATCATATGATATATGAATGTGAAACTACACAATTTCAGAAACTTGTGTCAGAAAGTCTCCTATTCATGTGTTATTATCATTCCTGGTGTTCGCGATTATTTTTGGATTGGTTTTAATTAGCGTACGAATAATTTTTGCAATACACAACAGGTTCGTGCGACATATTAATTTTTCGCGTCTCATTCAAAAAGAAACGCCAAATGCTTGTTTCAATGAGAAATTGGTGTTATATGAAGTGTGACAACTTCAAACATTAGCCAAATTTGCGTCTGGCCGAAAATATCTCCGGTGCCAGAAGGTCTCTCTCCATGTTCATGTGTTATTTTCATTTTGATTTCACGTTCTTTTTGGATTAAGCAAAAACCAGCATAATATGAGCAGCAGGACTGTGCAGCATATTAAGTTTTTTTTTTTTTGTCTCATTCAAAAAGAAGGCCGTTTGTACCTTGCTGAATGAGAACTTGGCGTTCTTTTTTTTTTGATCGGGGTCATTGCATTATTGTTGATTGGTGTTGACAATTTTATTTAGATAGAACTATTGTAGTTTTTCATTATAAATACTTAAAAAAAATTAATGTTTTGACCAAAAAAAAAAATGGGCTATAGTAAAGGAAGTGGGTATTTTTTTTTTTTTGAAAAAAAAAAACCATGATAATTATTAAATAATTATTTTTTTTAGACCGCATTCAATATTATCCAAATCCCAACAATCACCAACATAAAAAGTTGGTGTTATTCAAGAACCAAAACCGAATCAAATGTACTCTGTTCTCCCAAATGGCGAAAGTAAACCGATTGGTATTTGAAATTCTTTATAAAACATATGCTTATATTTTGGAATTGTATTATTGAATTTATGTATTTTATTTTTTAGACATTCATGAAAATCAAATTGTTGGACTTGTAAAAGATTAAATGAAAAATAATCGATAAATAAATAAACAACTCTTTTTGGTCAGTTAGACCAGTTTCATTCTATACATTTTTTGTAATTCTACAAAAGTAGAAAAGTATCCAATTCATAAAATTTTAGCGTTCACCTCTTTGACAAATAATGGAAATAATTTGTGTCTAAAAAGCCTTTTAATTGTTTATATCATCGCGGAAAGCTGAAACATTCTTTTCTGAACACATGCGTTACGCTAAGGCTTGCATAATTTGGAGTTTTTCCGAGAAATGCATGCTTGTGTGACAACAAATAAAAAAATTGCAAATCATTTTTCGTGATGAGTGTCGAATATGGAATCATTCATAGAATTAGTGCCAATAATTCAAAAACGTGTTGAACAACTGAATGAATAAATAAAATAATTTTTTACTTCGTTGTATATGATATTGCGTATTTTAATGATACGTGTTAAACTCACTAAGCCCATTATTCAGAGAATTCTATTATTAAAGAATCTCCTTCATGCATTAAACATTGTTGATTGATGAATTCGAACATCTTCCAAGAAGCGAAATTGATAATGTTACTAATACTAGGATTTTATAATATAGAAATACAATTTCTGATTAAAGAATTATGCTCATTAGTAATTATGATAATCAAAAAATACCTATATTCTTATCGTCAATTGAATATTTTTTTCCTAATTATGTATCAAAATTACGATAAAATAGCATCTCTTTAAGAGGGATGTGCAGTTATCAACTATCCAACTCGCTTGATCGATCTGGACTCAATATATAATATTATGTAGTCATAAAGGTGCATTTTTACTTCAACGAGTACTTGATTGAATTAAAATTTAAAAAACTGACTCATACTAAATTACCAAAGATGCAGGCAGAGTCCGTGATTTTCCAAATTATGATTTCTCTCAATGCTTTATTAACGTTGAAACCCATTTTCATACGGAACAAACAGCAAAATTTTACCTTTTCAAAAGTATATGAAAAAGAAATCAAGCGGATTTCAACTGTATCAGGTCGAAACTATTTGAATCAAAATTTTCGGAATACGTTCCGATCATTTGTATTATTTATTTTTCGTGTTAGCTCACTCTATATTGTAATAAAAAGGCTTTTATTGCTATCCCTTAAATAATTTGATATCATCAATACTAGTGCTCCGAAACGATCGAGTCGGACCGGGTTGATTGACCCGACTCGAAATTTTTATCTCGAGTCGGGACTATCATTTTTATGACATGAGTCCTAATTCAAAAAAACCCGCCGGGTCAGGTTCACGTTTTGCTTGACCCGGTTCGACCCGGGATGATCAGGCGCTAGACTTTTTTTTTGTTTTATGTTTACGCATTTGTAACAAATAATTAAATAAGTAAACCTATCGACGTTACCGATAGTTCAAGAAAACGAAAATCATTGCGGAGTGAACAATTACAGGTAAAAAAAAAAAAAAAAAAATTATCGATTATTAAACATTAACTAATACTTTTTTTTTTTATAAAGCAACAAATGTTCCAGTAGACGAGTTTTTTCTGGCGGAACCGATTTGATATCAACCAAAAGATGTGGTCCTAAAGTTAATACAGTTCGCCTGTACGTGCTTGAAATTCTGGAGGAAAAAGATGTAAAAAAAAAAAAAAAAGAATTAGATTAATGCTTACAAAAAAAAAAAAGATAATAAAATTTTAAAAATAAAATAAACTTTATATGACACTTTTATTTTCGGCATTAATATTACCCTTGAGAATTCGAGTCGAATCCGAATCAAACAATGATCAGGTCGAGCCGAATTCGGGTTCTGTAATTATTAACTAAATATAATATTAAAATTAAAATTCAATCAATAAGTGAATTATATAAAATAGAAAATAAATCAAATTAATAATATTTAGGTAAAAATTTTATATGAATTATATAGGGTAATTTTGTTGTAAAAGTTAAATGATTAATAAATTTGTATTATATTCATTTTATAATAATATAAAAAGGATTCTGAAATTCAAGAATTTATTAATAATTAAAGTTATTTTTTTTATTTTTGCTAATTTGGAAATTTACAAGTTTGTCAACTTTCTAATAAACCAACTTTTAAACGCAATATTTAATCTTATCTCTTTTTCAGATTTAGCAGCAGCATTATAAGAATTTAATTTGGCTGTAAAACAAAGATGGACAAAGGAAAATGATTCAACGATCATTACTATAATTGAAGACAATGCATTTCCATAAATTCCATATG